CACTTTCGCCCTTCAGTTCCGGCTTGGCCTGCCCCTGTCCGTGCCCAAGTGCTGTGACTGTGACAAACGAGTTGCTATCCTCGACAAGAGACTGCCAAACCACCTGCTGCGGTGCGGCAAAGGCCACGGCCGGACCAACACCCACAACGAGCTCCGCGACGAGTGTATCCGCATGGCGCAGGATGCTGGGTTCGCGGTGCACAAGGAGTGCACTGCCTTCAGCCCGGTAGATATGAAGTTTTTTGAAAGTGTGTAACACTTTCTAAAAATGTATATTTCGAAAGCGAAGCTGCTTGTAATGCAGCAATGGCAAGGCGAAGTGCTCTACGCTCTTCGCCAACTATATAGCAGGGGGTGGAGGCCATTTGGCCTCCACCCACGTCTTCGTTTGAAATTTCAAATGTCTTATTTCATTCTCGTCCGACGACTTGGCGCTTCCCGTTTTCCTCAGTTTCTCACTTCTCTCATAAAATAGTAGGCATCAACTCAATTGACATGGCACAACGTGTTTCAGAAATGACTTGCGGGCGCACCCGTCTGCACAATAGGCGCGCTTGTTGGGGCTAATAAAGCGACAGCGCCACTGGCGCACGTGGCGACGAAATCGCCACAAGCGCGCGTGGCGACGAAATCGCCACAGGCGCGCGTGGCGACGAAACCGCCACAGGCGGGCGTGGCGAAGCAATCGCCACAGGCGCTCGTGGCGACGAAATCGCCACAGCCGCGCGTGGCGACGAAAACGCCACAGGCGCGCGTGGCGAAATCGCCAGTGGCGCACGTGGCGTAAAAAATGCCAGCGGCGCAAGTGGCGCCAGTGGCGCTCATGGCGCCGAAATGGTCAAAATCGCCACTGGCGCACGTGGCTACGACATCGCCAGTGGCGTGCAATAACCAGGGGCTCGTCCAGCGGCAGTCGGCACCAGCAGGCTGGCGAAATCTCCAGAGACAAACTGGCATGACATATGCTCTTCTGCTGCTGACATTGTCAGCGGATAACTTATTACCTTGCATATGTTTCCACCTGTTCTTCGTACGTATCTTCGATTTTTGTTTGTCTTCGTTTTTCTCTCGTGTTATTTATTACCTCTGGTCGCAGTAAATTGGTGCGAGGCAACTACCATAGCTTTGGGTCGCCATGAGAGACCATCGGCGAAGAAAGACTGCGGCAAACAATTGGCACAACCCCATGCGCTCCCGTGCGGTGCTGGCCAGCGAGCTCCCCAGGGGGGAGGAGGACCGGTGGGTCCTGTGCGGTGCTGGCCAGCGAGCTCCCCAGGGGGGAGGAGGACCGGTGGGTCCTGTGCGGTGCTGGCCAGCGAGCTCCCCAGGGGGGAGGAGGACCGGTGGGTCCTATGCGGTGCTGGCCAGCGAGCTCCCCAGTGGGGAGGAGGACCGGTGGGTCCTGTGCGGTGCTGGCCAGCGAGCTCCCCAGGGGGGAGGAGGACCGGTGGGTCCTGTGCGGTGCTGGCCAGCGAGCTCCCCAGGGGGGAGGAGGACCGGTGGGTCCTGTGCGGTGCTGGCCAGCGAGCTCCCCAGGGGGGAGGAGGACCGGTGGGTCCTGTGCGGTGCTGGCCAGCGAGCTCCCCAGGGGGGAGGAGGACCGGTGGGTCCTGTGCGGTGCTGGCCAGCGAGCTCCCCAGGGGGGAGGAGGACCGGTGGGTCCTGTGCGGTGCTGGCCAGCGAGCTCCCCAGGGGGGAGGAGGACCGGTGGGTCCTGTGCGGTGCTGGCCAGCGAGCTCCCCAGGGGGGAGGAGGACCGGTGGGCCCTGTGCGGTGCTGGCCAGCGAGCTCCCCAGGGGGGAGGAGGACCGGTGGGTCCTGTGCGGTGCTGGCCAGCGAGCACCCCAGGGGGGAGGAGGACCGTTGGGTCCCTTTCTGGCCTGTGGGCCATTTGTAGGGTAGATTCATGGTTGTGCAATTTAGTTACACTTCTCACACACCTTAGGCTTTGAAAGCCTTCAATTGCAAGGTCCGGATGCGGTCACACTTGAGTTGGTTGATTGAACAATGTTGTGGTGAGTTTGAAATGGTGCTCAAGTCTAGCAGATCAAAAAAAAAAAAAAAAATGCACACACATACAAAGGGCTCAAACGCCGGCAGATTTACCGTATCCGGATACAGATGCATGCACTCTTCGTAATGTGAGCACGGTTGTGACTGCTACAAGGGTTGGGCTCCTACAAGCATCACATCCATCATCACACAAAACACCAATGCCCGTTACCCGAGTCCTCCTATACTGCTTGCGAGTTTGTGTTCGAAGCTCACGTGTCAGCCGACTCTCATAAATCAACATTACTGTGCTACACTCGGGGCAACACTTCATCCAAGGCAACAGCAGAGAATACAGCATCACCATCAACATCGGTGCCAGCCTCTCCTTCGTGCGTGATTGGACCTCTACCGACATGTCATCGCATAAGCCACAAACAACCTTTACCATCTCGTTAGCATGACCCCGTCTCATGTCTCAGAAGACCCATTTGAAGCGAAGCTCGTTGCCATTGCAAACACAAGAAAGCAAGCTTTCTAAATATGAAGTTTTTTGAAAGTGTGTAACACTTTCTAAAAATGTATATTTCGAAAGCGAAGCTGCTTGTAATGCAGCAATGGCAACGGCGAAGTGCTCTACGCTCTTCGCCAACTATATAGCAGGGGGTGGAGGCCATTTGGCCTCCACCCACGTCTTCGTTTGAAATTTCAAATGTCTTATTTCCCACCCACCCACCCTAGCAAAAATTGCATGTTGTAACTGGTAATGTAGGTACCATATCTAACTAGGACGAGAATGTTGTAATGCCCATTTGAAACGAAGCTCGTTGCCATTGCAAACACAAGAAAGCAAGCTTTCTAAATAACAAGAAGGCAGATTTGGCCTTCCAGGACCGGAGCTCAGGGGCGGTATGGCTGGCGGATGTTACGATCACCGACCCTATCAGCAAACGTGATGAGAGAGCAAGGAAGGGGAGGGGCTGGGCAGCACGGGAGCAGGCAGATAAGAAAATAGGGCTCTACCATGGCAGGGCAGAGTTCGCGGGGTTCTTCCCCTTGGCAGTGGAAACCTACGGCTGCCCTTGTGATGAAGTACCGACCTTCCTCAAACTCCTTGCTGACACGGCAGCTAGGAAGCTCTTTAATGCGGACCCCTCTACCTACCAGGCCGCTAAGATGCTTCACCAGTTTCGTCAGCGTTGGTCGGTTGCCCTGCAGAGGGCACAGGCGGTTAGCTTCCTCATAAAGCTGAACCTTGCAGCACAGGCTGAAAACCCCCCTCTGGGAGGGCCAGAGGGGGTGCTAAACCCGGGGGACTGCTTTGCAACACTTGAGCCCCCGCAGGGGGGCTGCTAGATGGCATGTGTAGACGCTCACTTGGTTGTATCTGCTCTATGATAACCCTACAATATGTACTGCATGTTATATCAATAAAGGACCGTTCGAGAGGGAGGGAGGGAGAGAGAGAGAGAGAGAGAGAGAGAGAGAGAGAGAGGCACTAGGAGCCGGTCCTTAGCCTCTCAGCCTCTCTTAGCCTCTCTTGGCACCTCCTAGTTAGTATATAAGCCCTGGGAGCCTTTCTTTCCCCTCTCTGTTTTGTTGAGTTCCTTTACTCTCAGAAAACGGCGGCTCGCGCCGGCCGCCTTCGGCGGCCGTTGCTCGCTAGCGCGGCCTCCGGCCGCGCGTGAGGGGTGGCAAGGGGAGAAGGGGGGAAGATATACATACAACATGGGGTACAACATGCATTAGGGTGACCTAAAACAACATCAACACCCCCAGGCGAGAAGTTAAACCATGGGGAAGCCCAAAGCCAGGCCGGAAACCAAGGAGGCTGGCAAAGGGAAGGGGCCCACTACTCAGCCAGAATCCACGAAAGCCGCACGTCCATCCAGCGCAGAACGGACGCGGCAGCTGGCACGAGGTCGCGTGGTGCATGCAGGGCGGCAAGGGCAAGCCTCCTCAGCGAGGCAGGGCCATGCCCCAACGCGGACCCAGGGGTGCCCGGCACCAGGCCGATCAAGGGCAGCATGTGCAGCATTTGCATCGCAGCTGCGGCTGCCTCCTCCTGCTCCTGCCGCGCCATTGGGGGAGGCACAGCTCCAGGACACGACAGACACGACTGATACACATGCAGTTGGTCCAGGACCATCGCCAGCAGGGACAGGCAAGTCCCCAGGTGCCCAACGCGCGTCTCGACGCGGTCGCAATGAGGGGAGGTCGGCGGAGTTAACACTGTCGGAGACAACGAGGCAGGGGGATCGGGATCGGTATCCTGAGACACCTGCAGTGGGGGAGGCTACTGCCGTGGAGACTGAGGAAGGCGGGGGAGCGGCCCTGGAGGCGACGGAGACGGCGCTGGCGGCGACGGTGATTGCAGAGACTGTTGGTGGGGCGGGGGCAACTGCCGAGGCTGTCGCTGCCGCTGGCGGCGGCTCATTTCCACCCTTGGCCATGACCGCGTCTGCCCTGTCGCCTGCAGAGGAATCTGGACCTGGTCTTGGACCGGTTGGGGAGCCGCCACAGGCGGAGGAGCTGGAGCAGTCACAGCCGCCAAGGGCATTGACGGGAGCAGTGGCTGTAGTCGGTGCGGAGGTGTCCGAGACGCCTGCCGCTGCGTGCGCCGGAACTCCTGCTGCCGCCGTGGCCGCAAGCACGCGGAAGCACGGCCATGCGGAGGGTGATAGCACGGATCTCGCAAACGGCGTTGCCTCCGACGATGCCCGGACGTCGTCGAGGCGGAAGCTGCGGGCCCAGCCAGCGCCGAGAAGGCCTGGAGTAGGGCTGGGACCTGGTTCCCCGGGTCCCCTCCGGGGTTGGCTCCGGCAAGAGCAGACGTCACGACCGCAAGGGCATCAACCGCCATCTGCGGAGCCACGGATTGGGGACAACGAAGGGGAGAGCAGTGTCAGGCAAGAATAACTTTGGATATAAGGGCGGGACGCACAGCACCGGAAGCTGGGCCCCCGCAAGCACCACGGCGAGAAACGCGGAGCACAACACGCGCATAGGGCATCACCTGGGGCCAGCAGAGGGGAGGTGGGACCAGACAGACAATCTCACCGTGGATCCCGGCGGGAAGAGCGCCACAAGCTGGGGGTGGAGGGCGGATCAACGAGATCCAGGCCGGAGGAGGCGAGACGGCTCACGGGGCCCGAGGCGGAGGGCGCGGGGGAAGAGGCAGAACGCGGGGGAAGAGGCAGAAGACGGGGCAGAGGCGCAATCGTCGGGGAAAGAGAGGCGCTTGTGAGATTGGGGACGTGGCGTGAATGCCACGAGCAACCGGAGCAGGATATGCCACCGACGAATCAGGAAGCAGAGGAATCTGACAACATCGATGACGGGGAGGAATATGTAGCTGAGGCATCACAAGCCTCAGAAGAGATCTCACTGGAGGAGGAAGGAGGCACGGCAAGGAGAGCTAGGAGGCGCAGCACGGGTGAGAGAAACCCCCAGCAGGGAAACCACCAAGAGGTAAACCCCGAGGAGAGAAGAGAAACTGGAGTAGTGGCGGGGGGGAGCCAAAGAGACTCGGGAGAGCCGAAGGTTTAGTCACCTACCGACCTGGCGGCAGACGACGCCATCTGGCAACAGGCAGCCATGTGGGAAGTTACACCACTCCAGCGGGGCGACCAACCTTTTTTGGTTCGGAGAATGCCCCCCAAAATTTTGGAGAGCTACTCCCTCTGTGTCCTGGCACCACTCCTGCGCCTCACGAATTTTCCTAACTGCCCAGGCGCATGGGCCATCCTGCAATTCCTTCCGAGGCTGACCCTACGACCCCTTCTTGAACTAGTGGAAGGAAGCCGATGGACAGGGATTGAGGACAGGTTGCACCGATTCCAGCAAGGCCGATGGGGGGAACTCTTCGAGGAGGCAAAAATCATCCCCGACATTGAGAACCCGACACGACACCAAGCAGACGACACGGGACTTAGCGCTAGGGCGGAGGGATTGATGAGAAAGGGTAACATCTCGAAAGCAGTTGCAGCGTTACGCATGACCCCACTCGCAGAAGCCACACCAGCAACGCTCGCCGCACTGCAGGCGAAACACCCTGAGGCGGCCCTGCCCTCCACAATGTGTGTTACCGGCTACACCCACTCAGCACTGGGAATAACCCCTGACGACCTCCGCGAAATACTCAAGTGATGCCCGAATGGAGTGGGAGCAGGGCCTTCGGGCACCTGTTTTGAGCACCTTAAGGATCCTGCGTTCGCAAATGAGGAGGTGCTCATACTCCTCGCTAAGACAGTCAGCTACCTCCTGAGCACTTTCCAGACCCAAGCCATGCGCAACTTACGGCTTCCTTCGAAACTCATCGCCCTGGAAAAACCAGGGGGCGGCGTGCGTCCTATTGCTATCGGAGAAGCGCTACTCCGCGTCGTGGCAAAAGCAGCCCTGAAGGAATTAGCGCCAAACATTCGCGACTTCTTTCTTCTCGTGCAGTTTGGTGTAGGGGTCACTGGAGGCGCGGAGTGCATCATACACTCAGACCGAGCGCTGCTTAGAGAGGACGAGACCCGCGTGGCGCTTCAGCTTGACATCGAGAATGCATTAAATAGCGTCGAACGACCAGCGTTTTTCCAAGCGCTATCGCAATCTAGCCTGCTCTCACTTCTGCCCCTCGTCCGCACGCTGTACGACGGCCCGTTCCGTCTCCTAGTGGACCACAGGCTCGGAGTCGGCCAGATCGTGAGGAGCCGAGGAGTCCGTCAGGGAGATCCACTGGGCCCGCTTCTCTTTGCGGCGGCGATCCAACCAACACTCCAGAGCACGGCAACACTCCTCCCCGAAGTGGCGATCGTTGCTTACGCCGATGACATCACCATCGTGGGTCCCCGGGACGCGGCGTACGATGCCTTCATCAACGTCACGAGGGAGTTGACATCACTCGGACTCCGCTGCAACATTGCCAAGTCCGCAGGATGGGAGCAGTGCACAGGGGGAGGAAATGAGATACCACCACCATAGGGCCTGCCAATAAACACCAACGGCATCGGAGTTTTGGGGAGCCCCATCGGCTCACCTGCCTTCTGCACCAACCAGGCACAAACGAGACTCACAGAAGCATCCGCTCCGCTTCCCTTGATAGCCCAGCTTCACCCCCAGCACGCCATGCTAATGCTCTCCCGGAGTATCTCACGCAGGATATCCTATCTGCTGAGAACTACACCCGTGGCGGTGCAAGAGAGAGAGGAATTGAGGTCATGGAGTGAATCTCTGATGGGAGCGGCTTTTGCAGCGGCGAAACTACGGGTCCCAGTGAGTGAGCTGGAACAGAGTCCGCTTTGGCGGCAAGGCACCCTACCGGTTAGGCTAGGAGGGCTAGGCATCATCGACCCTACCTCGGAGGCACCAGCAGCCTACATCGCGTCGATCACAGCTGCACAGCACTTACTACGGTAGATGAACCTGCCTGAAGGGTACCTGCTGAGCCGAGCGGTCACGCTACTGGACTATGCTTGGAGCCCCGCCCCACCGGAGGTCAACCGGTTGGCCCCACTTGAAGCGGCTCTGCCGGCACCAGCGAGGACCGCATTACAGACGTTCAGGGAGAGACCGGCGGACAGGGTAACCTACAGCTAGCACTGTCCCGCCACATCAACGAGAGACATGCCGCAGAGCTGCTGGCAGACACGATCACAGACCGCCCAGGCACACACCGCGGGCATGCGATACGCCTCATTAGCCTGCAAGGGGTGGGGGCGGGGGACTGGCTTCACGTCGTGCCTTTGAGAGCTGACCTTACATTTGCCCCTGGTCAGTTCTCATTGGCGCTGGGCTTCCGCATGGGCATGGCTTTGCCGGTCGCTATAAAGTGCCCCTGCAATCGAGAGTATTTAGACATCTGACACAAGTCTGCCGAACCATCTCCTGAGGTGCGGGTATGGGGGGGATGTGGTCAGAACACACAACTCACTGGTATACGCGGCTCTCAGGATGGCAAGGGAGGCGGAATTCACATGCTTTCATGAGACATCAGCCTTCTCCCCACCGATACTCAAGAAGAGAGGGGATCTGGCGATTAGGGACAAGGAGTCAAACGAGACCTGGGTGACAGACGTGACGGTGACTGACCCCGTGCTCCAGCAACGCGACACCAGGGCACGGAAACCGCCAGGATGGGCGGCTGAGGAGGCATCGGCCAGGAAGCACAGAGAATATGAGGGGCGGCCGGACTATGTAGGTTTCTTCGACCTTGTAGTTGAGACGTATGGGGCTCTGTCCACCGACACACAGGAGTTCCTAAGACTCCTGGCCTCCTCAGCAGCAAAGAAGAAGTACCGCCAGGAAAGTTGACAACGACGATTGCACGACTTACCGCTCACTACCGGCAGCGCTGGTCAGTGATGCTGCAGCGCTCCCAGGCGACGTCTTACTTGAACAAGTCAAACCTCTCAGACGAGGCGGCGTTCCCCCAGGCAGCTAGGGACCCTTGGGAACCTAGCCTGGGGGACCTATGGCAAGTGCTGGAGGATGATCTAGAGGATGTGATGGCTCAATAGGTCGCATAGGCTATAGGCTAGTCGTGTAGCCATGGCTCAGCTGTTGCACGATATGCTGGATCGGTTGTTTTGCCCACCAGGCCTGGTTGCCGTTCTTGGCCTTACCTTGCAGTGCCCTGCCTTGTTTGCCGGCCTCGTGTGTTTGCTTTGCCCAACCTATCCGGCCTGACTGGTTGTTTTGCAGATGTCCTGCCCGCGGCCTATCCCTGCCTAGCATGTTTGTTCAAGTCAATGCCTAGGCCTGACTAGCACCTATCCCTGCCTTGCCTGTATCCCTATGAACCTATCAATGAAGGATTGCTTGAGAAAGAGAGAGAGAGAGAGAGAGAGAGAGAGAGAGAGAGAGAGAGAGAGAGAGAGAGAGAGAGAGAGAGAGAGAGAGAGAGAGAGAGAGAGAGAGAGGCCATCTGGCAGGGAGCTGAGAGTTGGGATTTGAAGCAACTGCAACGTGGGGACCAGCCTTTCCTCGTCCGCCGCCTGCCCCCACAAATTCTGGACAAATACTGCCTCTGTCTGTTGGCACCACTCCTGAGGCTGGAAAAGTCCCCAACGTGCCTTGGTGCATGGAAGATTCTGCTGTTCCTACCGAGGCTTACACTCCGACCCTCTCCCGAACCTGTGGTTGGGAGTCGCTGGGCTCGAATTGAGGCTCGGCTACATCAATTTCAGCAAGGGAAATGGGATGACCTTTTCGAGGAAGCCGGCACCATCCCCGATACCGACGCCCCGCTACGACACCAACCTGACGACGAAGGGGTTTGTGCACGCGCCGAAGGGTTAATGAAGAAGGGGAATATCTCGAAGGCGGTTGCTGCGTTACGCACCAGCCCACTCGCTGAGCCTAGTTCGTCAACCCTCGCTGCACTCCAGGCGAAACACCCACCTGCCAAAGACGATATCCCGGCCTGGGTAACAGGAATAGCAACTTCTGAACTCGCCGTCCCAGTTGACGCTCTCCGCGAAATCCTGGCGAAATGCCCGAATGGAGTGGGTGGGGGGCCCTCTGGAACATGTTTCGAGCACCTGAGAGATCCAGCTCTAGCCAACGAGGAGATCTTAATCCTACTCGCTAGGACAGTCAACACACTCCTTAGCACATTCCAGTCTCAGGAGCTGCGCGACCTCATCCTAACCTCACGCCTGATAGCCTTAGAGAAACCAGGGGGTGGGGTCAGGCCTATCGCGATTGGCGAAACATTACTCCGTGTAGTAGCGAAAGCGGCTCTTCACTCTCTTGGCCCTAAGATCCGAGAGTTCTTTCTTCCGGTCCAGTTCGGAGTGGCTATCCCGGGGGGAGCGGAGTGTATCATCCACTCAGTCAGAGCGCTACTTCAGGAGGACAAAGCACGGATTGCGCTGCAGCTGGACGTAGAGAACGCGTTCAACAGCGTTGAACGCAGAGCATTTTTTGAGGCCCTGCAGTGGTCCAACCTTAGTCCCCTCCTCCCCCTGGTCCGAAACCTCTACGATGGCCCGTCGCGGCTACTAGTTGACCAACGCTTCGGCACAGACCACATCTTGAGCTCCCGCGGAGTTCGCCAGGGAGATCCGCTCGGCCCGCTTCTGTTCGCAGCTGCGATCCAGCCAGCCCTGCTGAGCGTGGCCACTACACTGCCGGAGGTGGCGATCGTCGCCTACGCGGACGACATCACGATCGTCGGCTCACGAGAGGCTGCCTGCACCGCCTTCAACACGATCGCCTCGGCTCTGAGAGCGGTGGGACTGCGTTGCAACATAGACAAATCATCAGCGTGGGGACGGAACGCGGGCGGGCAGCAGGAGGAGCTGCCACTTGGGCTGACCATGAACCAGGGAGGAATCAAAGTGCTGGGCAGTCCAGTGGGGAACGATGGCTTCTGCACTGACCACGTACGGGCGGCACTGGGAGAAGCGGCGTCGCCACTCCTCCTCATCTCGCAACTAAACCCGCAGCACGCGCTTCTCATGGTCTCGCGCAGCATCTCTCGGCGGATCTCATATATGCTTCGGACGACCCCGGCATCAACACTAAGCACGCGAGAGTGGAGGGAGTGGAGCGAGGCTCTCCTGGGCTCGGCACTCACCGCGGCGAAACTTCGGATCCCCTCCTCCGAGCTTGAACAGAGCCTGCTGTGGCGTCAGGGAACACTCCCTATCCGCCTGGGTGGCCTCGGAGTGATTGACCCTATCTCTGAAGCACCCGCTGCCTACCTGGCTTCAGTCGCGGCAGCACACATCCTACTGAGGCAGCTGGACCTGCCAACTGACTGCCTCCTGAGCCGAGCGACTCAGCTCCTCTCCCACGACTGGGTCCCACCGCCACCAGAGTTCAACCCCAGAGCCACTATGGAGGGCGCCCTCCCCGCTGAAGCCCGAGCAACACTGGAGCAGTACAGGGAGGGGAGTCCAGGCACAGGGAACCTGCAGCTGGGGCTGTCGAAGTCTATTAACCAGCGGCGGGCCTTGGAACTCCTAGCGGACACCCTGCAGGACCGGCCGGGGGAGGACAGGGGTCATGCCATCCGCCTCATCAGCCTAAAGGGGGTGGGCGCGGGTGACTGGCTCCATGCCATGCCAACGAGAGGAGACCTTAGCTTATCCCCTGGTCAATTCTCGATGGCCCTGGGCCTGCGTTTGGGCATGGAGCTGCCGGTCGCCGAGGTGTGCCCTTGCAAGCGGGAAAACTCGACCATCTCCAACAAGAGCCTCCCCAACCACCTCCTGCGGTGTGGGGATGGCGGTGACGTTGTGAGGACCCACAACGCCCTGGTCTTTGCAGCTCTCAGAATGGCCAAGGATGCGGGTTACAGGACGTTCCATGAGACCACGGCGTTCTCTCCCCCGGTCCTCCGGAAGCGAGCAGACCTGGCCATTCGGGACCAGGAGTCGGGGGAAACGTGGGTAACCGATGTCACGGTCACAGATCCCGTACTGCAGAAGCGGGATAAGAGAGCTAGGTAGCCGCCGGGGTGGGCAGCAGAGGAAGCCTCCGAGGGTAAGCACAGGCTCTACGAGGGCCGCCCTAGCTATGCCGGCTTCTTTGGGCTAGCGGTAGAGACCTACGGGGCTCTGGCTAAGGACACGCAGCAGTTCATCCGTATGCTAGCCACCTATGCCGCCAAGACGAAGTACAGGAAGGGACGCCTCACGACGACTGCCGCCCGCCTCAATGCACACTTCAGGCAACGGTGGTCCGTGGTGCTCCAGCGCAGCCAAGCGATCTCCCTCCTCTCCAAGTCAAACCGAGCAGCGGAAGCGGCTTTCCCACAGACAGCGGCGGACCCTTGGGCACCTCGGCTAGGTGACCTATGGCAGACCTTGGAGGACGAGTACGAAGAGAGACACGCCCCTGCCAGGGCGGCCTGAGGGGTTGAGGGGGCCGGGGAGATAGGAACATGGTGACAGGAGGAGGATGGGTGGCGGCAGGGGAGGGATACATGGGCGCGGTGAGAAGCAGGGGGGGGGTGTGCTGGGTCGGTGTGGGTC